AAGTTTACTCCGAGTTCTAGTTTTGTAAATTGTTTCAATGCGAATACCGAGAACTTTGTTAATTTTCCAGATATTTTTTGCATATTTAATGAGGCAAAAAGCTATATTTTCGTTTTTTGCGAATTTCTCGAAGAGTGAATTCTAAGAAAATTGGAATAATATTTTCGAAAGTGGCTCCCTAAAAGCGTTCTTTAGGCAAAGTTTCAGGATTTTCGAATTTTCTAACCTGACCAGCCATTCTCGATATTTCCAGTCAGTGACTCTTAAAACAGCGACAAATGCTTGCAAAGCATATTAGAAGAGGGAAAGCGAGATATCCTTCAACTGACAGCAGTAGCTACATGTTAATTCGGTCTTAAGATGTTAAAGAAGTACACCTCTTACTGATTTGCTTCAACAGGTAAACGCTCCTGAAGAACTTGAACTAAAAATAAAAGTCTACTTCAATATGGCCAAGGGAAGTAACAAGGCCAGGGAAGCTTTTCCAGGCAGCTTCCTTGATGTACCCAGCATGGAGATAGTCAAGAACCCTGTGGAAACCCTGAGAAGAATCTGTCAGTTCCTGGAAATCACGTGCACAGAGCAATATCTCCAGGACTGCGCAGCCACCGTGGACGCGGTCCCCTCCATAACACGTGGTTTTATAGAATGGACCGCTGAACAAAAGAACACTGTGTACGACATGATGAAAAAGTACCCTTTTTTCGAAGGGTATTCTTTTGATAAGTAACTAGAGTTGTTTCACATTTAGTTGTCATAAAAGATAAGTAAAAATATAAATGCTGTGTAGTGTTTGTCGTTCATTTTAGAAAATGATGAGAATGAAACAAACGAAAGCTTATCTTTCAACTCTCTTGAGTAGAAAAAGTACAGTGCGAATGATTGCCTTAAAAGTATGCTACTAGACAGTTATGCTAAGTTATTATTCACTCCCCGTTTCCTATCAGCGGGATAATTGTTTGTTTGTTTGTTTGTTTGTTTGTTTGTTTTCTTTTTAAATTGTTGTATTGGAATTAAAAATAGAAACACCTTTACATACGTACTTTAAATTACAATACGGGATCATTATTGGCGAATGGAAACTTTTCACACATCATGCTACATACCCCAGCCGCTCCCCGAAAGTTATGAGATTATCATTTTGGATTGATCTTCAATGGAGCCTGGAGACTAATGTGGGGAATATATATATATATCTGACTGATTTTGCAAAAGTATGCCCGTAGATTTGAAATCCTTCATTTAGGCAACCTGCTAGTTTTTGCTTCCTAATGGTAGCAGCTTGTAAAGCTTACCTCGCGTGAAAGGTAGGTCACCATCGCTACACCTTTTATCAATTGATGTTAAGGTTACAGTATATCTTAAGGTCGGCAATTTTCTCCAAATTTGGATTTTTGAGTCAAAGTTGTGGTCGAAGAATAATCTCTAATTCCTGAAAAAAAAATTTGAAAAAGACTAAATATTGGCGGAAAAATGGCGGTTTTACGGTTTCGCCGGAAGTAAAAGTTTACATCTTGATTGACAGCCCTATGGCGCGTATGTTTACAGATGTCACGAATTGACTACTAATCAGTTGATCAGCTTTGTTGTTATGACCACCAAGCATTTTTGGTATTAGGTGTAATTCTATTAAGTTATAAGTTAAGGTAGACCACGATAAAAATATGGACCAGTTCGAAAAAGCGAAAGCAGCGAATAACGAGTGAAAATACATCAATGAGTGATGATGCGAAAGTTCGGCACGCGGATGAAGCTATAGTGATCGTATGAGGCGGGCAAAAAAATCGAGGGAAGAGAAAAGAAAGGTTATGTAAAATTTGGGAACTTGACAGCAATAACAGGGATGTTGACAGAGACTCCGATGAATCCGATATCGGCGAATCGTTGGACTCATTGAGACCCATTGAAATATTATCCATACACAGTTAACCACGCACAGTTGCTCCGTCGCACTTTCTTTTATTTGTTTTCTTCGCCCAGCCACTCTAGCGTTCGTATCCTTTTTCGTCTTCCCCATTTTGCCAGAGTGACCAGCTTCAAGAAAAACCGAGCTACGGAAAAATTATCTCTCCGCCTTCGGCGCCTTGAGCGCATTGCGAAACACAAGGGTTTTTTGGAGATTCTATTCACCAGGACGTTAACGGTAGTAAACTTTCCCTGCACTGATTGGCTCAGTGGGGGAGCTGTATCTGAGAACCCAGTTGAATACGTTTGTTTGCAAAGCAGAAGATTTTTCTTACGCTGTTTTCTCGAATACTTTTTTTTTGCTTGAAGTAGACACTTTAAAGAGTTGTAACTCAAAGGTAATTTGTTCAATTGCCCTCAAATTTGGACAGTAGCTAGTTTAACATATAAACTACAAAAACCTGTCTGCGAATTCTTAGTTTCGAAATATTTTTTCTTCGAGAGCGATTTTTGTACGATCACTCTACATTTTTTAATCTTATTTCGAAAATGTTCTGTAACTTTTTACTGCAATTGAATATGGCAAAACGTAGACAATTTTTTTAAGCGCTTTGGGCCCTGAAACCGAGGAAAAAATAAAATTGGCGAAAAACAAAAGTCGCTTTGACTTGTAGCTCTTGAAAGGTGATTCGGGCGCTCGCGTTTAGTGGTCGTGAAAAATTCGACAATTCGTTTTATTTCAAAATTCTTGGAATAGTTTGATAGCCAGCTCTATAAGCTTTAATTTGATATAGGGGTTTAGATGTCTACTGCTTAAACTCTGCGCGCTACATCGCTTGCACGCGAGAGACCCCTGAAGGTATACCGTAACCTTAAGTTTAGCCCAGGCTACACTCGTCTGAATTTTAGTTAGCGCGGTGACTCGGTGATCAATTAGCTTTCTATAACTGCTGTCTAGGGAAGTCTGCCTGAGGACATCACAAAGTCTAATAAAGGAGCAAATCTAATGATTTTCCATTTTCTAGCACGCGTCGTTCATTATCGTACATGAAACCTTCCCGAGATATATAAACGGGTCAACATTAAGCCCCGTAATAGTGGCCGTTTGCACTGTGGCGATAATGTTGTGCTTGCTTTACACAGCAAAGAGCTTTAGCCACATCAATGTAGGGCTTAGACGCACAATGGACTAGACGTTTCTTGCTGTTGTTGTCTGCTTTTATATTCAGGACAGAACATAATTGCTCGTGCCGGGATGACTTAATTTAATTTTGAAACATAGACCAGAGATGACTTCGAACACTTTTGGTTTCTGACATAAAACGTTTGGAACGCCCCTTCGTTCAAGCAAAAGATCCTTTAAAACATTCAAGAGTGTCTCACATTGGATTTACAGAGGGTTTTGTAAGAGTTTCCATGGCAATTTCGGCTTTTTGTGAATGAGGCAAATTAATTATATGCAACGTTTCAATTGGAAAACAAGAGGCGCACAAACTATCACTACTCTTCAACGAGGTGAGTCATTTATTATCTGTACCGAAAAGATCCCGTCGCTTTTCTTTCTACTAAGATCAACATAAATCACAAGTCAAATAACTGAAATAAGTGGTACGCACGCATATAACGTTTCCGTAGTTCTGGAGGCCTCCGGGTGCAAATGTTTTCCGCTTTGGCTGTGGCGTAATTAAACGCCGCAAACGCCTGTTCAAGGCATCTAAGAATCGTAAACGGAACAGTTTCGTAAATCGCTGGCCATAACAGACTATCAGACTATTACTTCATGGGCGTGCTTTCCGTGCGTGCGTACGCGTAGTTTTTCGTATGGTGTCGCTAAATCCACCTACTGAAGAAGGGCTAAGCCCGTAACGTTTAGTTTAACAGAACAAATTTGACACTTTTCAGAGCATTGTGAGCCTTATAGCTGGTTTTCACATGACTTCACCAAAATTCGAACTACAAAACTATTGATCTTCCTGAGATTTTACTTTAATGATGTATAAGAGGAGCTGAAAACTAATATTTATACAAATTTTCGCTCCGAATGAGTTCTTGGTTCTGTGATACACTACGCTTGAATTTCTAAGCTTTTGCGTGACGCGGCATTTACATGACGGCCTAG